CCCCTGAGCTGCATGGGGAGGATGCAGCTGGGCAAAAAGGAAGGGGGGACCACAAAGCAGCCGTGCCCCTGGCAGCCCTGTGGTGTGCCTGCAGAGGGAGTGCCCGGGCAAAGGTTCCTTTTGCTTTCCTGGTTTCAGTGCTGTGGGTCTGTGCTCACCTGGAGGAGAGGTGTGAAGGGGAGTGTGGTGGGGAGGGGGATGGAGGAGGGATCCAGACTGGGCTGGGAGCACTGGGGCATGCTGGTGCCCCTCATTATCCCCAGGTTTGTGGAAGGGGTGGGGAGCTGGGGCTGATCTCATTTCCTGAGTGCTCCGGGATCTGCACCCTCACACCGAGCACCAGGACTTCATCCTAGCTTTGGCCCAAGGGGGGGCACAAATCGGGTGGTCTGCACTGGGTGAAGGAGTCGGTGTTCACTGCAGTTATCACAGCGCTGTTTGCAGGGAACCCCTGTGCCTGACTGGATCCCCCCATGGAGCCCCGGGTACAGGATGGAGCCAAGGTGCTGCAGGAAGGATGTTTGCCCAACAAGGTGAGCAGAGCTGCAGCCCCCACAGTGGGTTACTGGGGGATATGAATGCAGCCACTGGCACGGGGATGGCAGAAGGGCCATGTTTCAGGATAGGTGATTGCAGCACGGGGAGCCACTATCACTCCCATGGGGCTGGGTAGCAAAGGGACACCCACAGCTCACCCCTCTCCTCCTAACACAGGTGCCCCCAGCAGAATGGACGGTGCCAGAGGTGTGTGCGTGGCTGAGTGCACGACACGGGGACCTGGCACCTCTGGCAGCTGAGCATGCAGTCACTGGGCGAGCCCTGCTGCGCTTGACGGAGGGGACGCTGCAACGCATGGGGGTGGCACCGTGCAGCCGACGCTGGGAGCTGCTGCAGGAGCTGTTGGGCCTGCGTCTGCAGCAGGAGCTGGAGGAGCTGCTGTGCATCGCTGGGGGGGAGCAGCATCCGCAGGGCCATGGTGATGTTCCCACAGCTGGACCAAGATCACCTCCATCACCAGAGTGAAAGCTGCGGTCAGGGAGGTGACGCCACGTGATGGAATTAAGCACATGATGTGGCAGCAGTCTGGAGGGAGTTCTGAGGCCACAGTGTCCCCAAAATATCCCAAACACAGCTGGTGATGTAGGGATGTGTAAGGAGAAGGTGGCTGCTGGGTAAAACCAGTGGGTACTCCTGCATCCTGCAGGGCGGGGGAGCCTGGTGACAATAATGCAGTGGGGACTGTCCCCATCCACCAGATCTTGCTGCAAGCCCGGGGTGCAGCAACCCAAGTCATGGGACCTCCTTTAGTTGAGTATTGTACATCACCTGGGGTTGGCAGAATGAGTAGGGCATGGAGCACAGCTGTGGGCCTCAATAAACATGGCTGGGTCTGTGAAACTGCTGAATGGTCGTGCCTGAGTGATATGCCACCTCCTGGGCAGCACGTGTAGGGCTATCCCTTTTTCTGCCCTATTTCCCTATTTATTTTCCCATTTTTTTCCCCTGTTTGCCAAGGGAAATGAGACAGAACAGTCTCGACCCAAGGCTGACTTGGGTGGGATGGCCGTGCGAGATCTGGACAGGCTGAGAGTTGTGTTGTGAGGAGGCTGACGGTACTCAACATGGGCAAGTGTGGAGTCTACAGCAGGGGAGGAATAACTGCATGCATCAGTAGAGGTTAAAGGCTGAGCTGCTGGAGAGGAGCTCTGCAGGAAAGGACCTGGGGATGCTGGTTGAAGTGGTTGACCAGCAGTTGACTAGTAGTTGACCAAAGGTTAACCGTGAGCCAGCAGTGTGCCTGGTGGCCAAGAAGGCCAGCGGTACCCAGAGGTGCACTGCACAGAGCGTGGACAGAAGGGTGATGGAGGTGATCCTCCCTTCTTCTCCTCCATGGAGAGGCTCCACACCTGGATGAAATATTCTGTATGGGCCTCACAAGGGTAAAGCAGAAAGGGACAATCCCTCACCTTGCTGGCAGCCCATCTTCTGATGGGGCCCAGGATAACATTGGCCTTTAGGGCTGCAAGTGCACGCTGCTGGCTTCTGTTCAGTTTTAGATCAAGCAGGACCCCTAAGTCCTTCTCAGCAGGGCCGCTCTAAAGGAGTTCTTCACTCAGTCTGTATCCATATCTGGGATTCCCTTGACCCAAGTGCACTTTGCTTTGCAGAAACTCATCAGGTTCACAGAGGCCCAACTTTTGAGTTTATTAAGGTTCCTCTGGATGGCATCCCTTCCTTCTGCAGTATCTGCACTGCTCAGCTTGGTGTCATCAGCAAACCTGTTGAGGGTGCACTCCATCCCATCAAGTATCGAGTACTGGTTCCAAGACCAACCTCTCATTGCTCATCACCGGCCTCCACCTGGACGTGCATCCACTTCTGACCGGTTCCTTATGTGCTAAAAAGTCCACTGTATCTCTCCAATTTAGATATAAGGATATGGTGTAGGACCATGCCAAAGGCCTTCCAGAAGTCCAGGTAGAGACTCTGTGCCTCACAGTTGCAATAAATAAATAAATGAGGGCTTCGGGGTAGGAGGACTGCGCATGTCGATTTTGTGGCAGTGGGCGCAGTCTGACTACAAAAAAGGGGAATGCTGTCTGGGTGGAGTCCCGCAGTTCCTCGGTGATGAGGGCCACAAGGTTGCTCAGAAGGCTGGAACACCTCTCCTATGAAGATAGGTTGAGAGCTGGGCTTGTTTGGTTCAGAAAAGAGAATGCTCCAGGGAGACTTCTTTGTGGCCTTCCACTAGCTAAATGTGCCTATGGGGAAGTTGGGAAGGATTATTTGTCAGGGACTGTGACAGGGAATGAGATTTAGATTTAGAAATTA